TAATATTTTAAACCGTTTGATTTTTGTATTAAAGTTTTTTTAATTGATTGATGATTGATTCAATCAACTAATTTGTTGATTGTATTAACTTGATTCTTTAGATATTGAAAATTAAATGAATAACATTATGTTAATTTAAGCATACAGAAACGTTACTGTTGTTCCAGCAAAAATCTTATTTTCACTTTACTGAGTGCCTAGTAGGTAATGTGCAGATTACCTAGATACTGTGCACATTACCTAGGTAATTTGAGAAATAGAATAATTTTAGCAACTTTAATGGATCACCCTACTTAATGTGCAGATTAACTAGGTAATGTGCACATTAACGGATTTCAAGCTTTAGCGGTAACATACATATATACATATACATACATATATATATATATATATATATCAAATTTTTCTAAACAACTACTATTTAATTATGATCACCCTATTCTGTTATTTTCATTACTCTTTCTCATAATAATCAACAGTATATCAACTTGTAAAATTATCAATTAAAATATTCTTCTGTACTTAGCAGAAAGAATATAATTTTTTAAGATCAATAACAGATACTTATGTTACTTATTTTCTTTATCAAACAGACTATTTAATATAAATACTCCATATCATATAAATACTTCCAACATTCCATTAATTTCTTTTTTTAATTCAGATATTTCTTAGCATTTCCCTGGTACATTACAAATTAATTCTCTACTTTAAAAATAAAAACTGAATTAGTTACCTGCAGACAGTTCTGGATTTAATGAAGTTTGACATTTATTATCCATTATCATTTCAGGCTGCTCTACAATTGCTGGCATTTCAGATGGTCTTATAACTTTAAGCATTTGTTGATTTCCCCAACGAGGAGTTTCATTAACAGATGATACATCAATATTTTCATTATTTATTTCATCATTTCCTTTTCTTAAAGATTTTTCATCTCTTAAAAAAATAAATAAAACATCTTTGAATTTTTTAAAAATTACAGAACAATTTAATGTGTACAGTAATACCCCGACTTATGCGAACCCAAAGTTAAATATAAATCTTATACTAACAACATATTACTTTATTATTATTTCAATAATTTTTAAAATAAAATAAAATTATTATTAAAACAATATAGAGATTGTTCTTCTAGAAATTGGTACTGGCAAAGTTTGAAATATCGTGCTCAAAACCAGCGATACTAAAGAAGATTGGAGAATGAGAACAAGAAAAATTATTAATCTTTCTATATACCTCTAAATTGATCAAAAATTTTAAAAATCTTTCTTTTAGAATAATTTTCTATTTTTGTTCATTTGAACAGATATAGAATAAAATTTATTAATTCTTGAAATATTATTAAATTAGTAATTTTGTAAGTTCATTTTTTTAATCTTGTAAGTAATATTAAATTAATTACTATGAGATACAAATTACCTAATTTTAATAATTGTAAACAGATCTATATTATTTTAATTCAATTAAAAACAGATCTATATTATTTTAATTCCAATATCTTTAAAATTTCCATTAGTATAAAATGATTACCAAATATTAACTAAATATTATATTTTAAGAGTGTTTACATCTTCCAATATTTTATTTTCTACAGAAAATCTATTTTTAAAAATATATTTATAACTATTCTGATTTATTCAATTTATAAAAAATGTTGAATGAGAATTCATGTTCAAAACGTTTTTCATTTGTAAATAATGTTATTACTTCCAAAATAAATTAAATTTGTATATTTTAAACAGAAAACAATATGTTTGAAATGTTCTGTAATAACAATCATCATAAAATACTTAGGCAATACTGTGTAGAGTATATATTCTCAAATTATCTAATTGACAAGACTACATCTTGTTTATAAAATCATACTGCCTGCTGGGTAACCAGCTTAGAGGTATGAAGGAGTACATGTCAGGAGTTGCAATTTGGCACAGAGTATTAGGTGCCCAAATCATGCACACACAAAAAAATCCAGACTTGTAGCTACTCAGGGGACCAAGAACCAAGTCAAAATAAAATTCAAAATAGTGAGTGTACAAACAGGCAGTAGTGTGAGATTTGCACATGCAATGCTCATTGGAAAGTTGGAAATGCAAACATTGTGAAATTGAATTTTAACAAACGCGTGCACTGGCAGTACAAAATGACAAATTGAATTTTGACAAATAAATCTTTGAAAAAAACCCATTTACCTGTCCCATGTTATTCCCGACATATTTCTGGTCGCAACATGCTGACCTTGACCAGTTGACCTAAGATATCTCATTTCAGCATCGGAACCTTTTTTTCAAAGTAGATGGTGCTAGTCGTTATAATTTTATATTAAAACTAACTTCCGAAATATAATTTGTTTTTTCTACATTTATTAATATACAATAGAGTGACATTTATCTGAAAGCCGATCAACCGAAATGTTGGGTAACCAAAAGCTTTCCAGTCGGACTGTGTCGTGCTGAATTGTTTTTGATACTAGATTAACTTCCAAAATATAATTTTTTTGTTTTTATATTTTCAATATACTTATTTTGTTTGTACAAAATAAAGAAATAATTTTTAACGCTACAATAGCCACAATTATTATTTTAAAAAATTTACCTTAGGCTTAACAGACAAAAATTCAATGTAAAGCGACACGCAACAGAGAAAAATTTCAACATGGGATAGGTTAATATATTTTTTCGTATATAATCAGTTATCTGAACAGCCCCAGTCCCCAATTGATTCGGATAAACAATGCTCTACTTTATATATATTGTTTGTGCAAAATAAAAAAATAATTTCAGATGATACAATACTCAAGATTATTTTTTTCAAAAACGGGAAATTTTTGGTAGGCATTGACAAAAATTCAACTGAGGCAACACGCAACATTGAGAAATTTCAAAATTGGATAAGTTAATTTCACCAAAAATGCATCGTGGACAACCTCTTGGTCGTGGCTGGCAAAGTTTGAAAGATCATGCTCAAAACCAGTGATACTAAAGAAGATTGGCGAATGAGAACAAGACCTGCCTTGAGCGTCAAAGTGATTCCACTTAGTAATGAGTCTCCGAGACATGTCTTGTCCTAAATATGGCCTTGCTATTTTACTTGTTTTTATTTAAGAAAATAATATACAAACCTAATAATAAGTTGATCATTAAGATTAGGCTTATAACTGTCACATTCTTCCATAACTTCTTGTAAAAGGCCAACTATAATTTGAAGATGTTCACAAACTTTTTGAAGTTTTGTCTTAAATATCTAGAAATAAATTAAAAAATAATATAAAAAATATGACTTATTATTAAATAATGTATAATAACATTAAATAAAATGTGAAATAATTCATTATTAAATTATAAAAATATCAAATTTAATTTAAAAAATATTAGTAAAACTTAAGTAAAAATATCATCTGCAATGGCTTATCAGTAAAATATACAAAATGTGGAGATCTATAGAATTAGAATTAATACGCATTATAAAATAAATCATTTCAAAATATTCTAATACCTGTAATATGATGAAACATACCAATTATATTTTAAATTTTAGTAGCCATATTTTTTTTCCCATTAGAGCAACATTCAGAATTAAAAAATAAAAATTTATTATTATTATTAAGATAAAATGAATAAATTTTTACTATTGAACTTTAAATAAAATAAGAACAAAAATTAACCATTGGATTAGAATCATATAAAATACTTATATAAGAAAATAAAATCAAGCAGCAACCATATTATCAATTTTAAAATATTAAATAAAATTTAATCTTATATATTTACTGTAATTTTTTAATTTAAACATGATTTTATAAATACAGTAAGACCCTGCTTAACGCTAACTCGATATAATGCGATCTGCTCAAAGCCTAAAAAAGCTCAAAATTTACACTGATTTAAATTATCACGGCACATTGATTTGTATATAATACGATTATTTGTGAACACAAACCAATCAACAAAAGGTGGCAAAAAGGTGTACTTTCTTTAAATCTATGTTTGTTTGGTGCAATTTTGAAAAAAATATAACATCGTGGATGATAGGAAATATTGACTTCACTTGGCAAGAACTAACTGATAAATACACGAATGAAGTGTGGAAGAAGTTATGGCTGAAGGTATCAAAGAATTCTCAACGAGAAGAGCCTATCACTGTATCATTAGACTTGGAGATAGATGTAGATGAGCAGGATATTGAGGAGTTACAGCAGGTTTCTAGTGAGAGCCTTCCCAATGACAACCTTTAAAAACTGGCAGAACATGGAATTCATGTGGAACTGGAAAATTGAGATTCTGAAAACGAAGAACCCAAAAAATTTCTCTACAGATTTCCTTAGTGAAAGTTTGGTAACGATAACCAAAATCGTTGATCAAATTGTAGCGAATGATCTAGATTTTGAAAGGAGTGAAAAAGCAAAATGAGGCGTTTTGGATGCAATCTTCTGCTTCCGACATTTGCTTAAAGAAAGAAAAAGCGACAAATGAAACTTCACGACTTTATTGCAAAAGAACAAGAATTTCAGAAAAGTCAGGACCTTCATCACAAAAAATGAACTTTACATTTCTGTGTGCATATGTTTATGTGTTATTTAATATACATTATTTTACAAATTAATATAAAAATAACTTAAAATTAAAGTAAAATTTGTTTATTTTTGGTCACGTGTTCCCCTATCCCTATTTACTCTATGTTAAAATTACCTTGTTTAACACTGTTTTACTTAGTGCTTTGTTGTCTAGGAACTTTAATGTTTATAGATAGATAAAAATAGAACAAAGTGTATCAAATGAAAATGAATAACTTTAAAATATTTTTAGTATGCTTTTAATTTTTCTGGCCTGCTGGCACTAAAAGTGCCTATTTTTGCTTGCCCACCATAAATTCAGTCATGTCCAAAATACAATGCCAATACAGTGAGAAACAAAGCCAACATATTCTATTTTATTTATATTTTTAACATTGGTAAAATAGTGAATCATCATCTAATTTTATTAGATGCTGAAATCCATTTCCAGTAACTAAAAACTGTTTACAGTAAAAAACTAAATACTCAATTACTGAAAAAAATGAAACTTAATAGTTTGAAACAGTCAAAGGAAATTAACACTGAACATAAAAAAATAACATTTTTTTAAAGAAGCTATGTATAACATTAAGTAACAAATACTACAATGCAAATTATCAAAACTTTCTATTAAAATAAATTGTGAGATATTAATTTTGAAAGTGCTTTTCGAACTTTACTTAGAATAACTGTTAATCATATAAAATATCAATAACAGAGTAATTGAAAATGAAATTTATAATGTTAATAACAATTTAAAATTTTAATATTTTAAATAAATTTTATTGAAAAAAATTTTTTTTAAAGTTAATGAAGGATTACTACAGCCTGTCCTCTAAATAAAACAAATAAATATATAACAGGACAAAATACCATTAAAAAATCTAAATATGTCAACAGAAAAATCCAAAGAGCAAAATGATAATACATTTAATAAACTAACAGAGGAGCTTGGCTTTGCTCAGACAAAAAATAAAAACAGCAAAGATTAAGATTATTAGATTATTTCATACTTCTAACCCTGTGGTTCTCAAACCTTTTTAGGATTTCTTGTGTGACAGTGTCTTTAACAATTTTTTTTAGATTGCTCGTGGACCCTACAGGAATTAACTACAATTAACACGTAGGCTACTGTTATAAAAACATTTTTTGGCAAACAATTATTTATTCAGAAAATGGCCAACCTTAGTCATCAATGTACAGTACATTCAATGGGATAGGTGTATCTGCTTTGCCTGAAGTGACCTCTTCAGTCCCCCTGAAACGCTTGCTAGAGAACCAGACCTCAGCTTGAGAACCACTGATCTAACCTTTCTATTATATTATATTATAGTATTTGGTTTATATTTACTAAGGTTATATTACATAAGGGTTTATCACACCAAGTTACCAATCTAAGACATTTTAAAAATTCTTTAAATTGTGTACAGTAGAGGAATAAAGGGCCCACCAGTGGCCAAATGGTTCCATCCCTGAACACTGGGAATTCAGTCATGGTTTGCACTGTGCCAAGACAGGCTGGCCATGTGAAGTTTTCCAGGTCCTTGTCTGTAATGCCTGAATAGGGACCAGTTACCTTTAAAAGACCTCCCAAAAGGCATTTCTCCCTTTGCGTAACATACTCATCAGAGTCGGAGAAATCACTCTGGTACTAACTTCCTCTAGGACTCACCTTGGTGCAAAACTAATCCCCAATTAACCTGCACTGGGTGATCGCTGATGTCAGGATGACCTGATATGGCACATGAAGAAGAAGAAGAAAAATAAAAAATTTTTAAAAAACGTGTTAGATTGGTCACTCAGTGTGATAAACCCATATGCAAGATAAAGTTTTTAGTTATATAAATCAAATACTGTAAAATAACAAACATTAAAACGAAAACCATATAAAAAGTTTGGTTATTTCAGCTTACCATTGTCACATTTATCATGATACTCAGATGGTACAAAATGGCAAAAAGTCAATGGTCAAGTAGACAGAGTTGAAAATAAATCTTAAAATTTTCAAATACAGTAATACCTCGACTTACGCAAACCCAGAGTTACATGATTTTCAAATCTCATCGATTCGTCTTTTGTTTCAGTGCCACGCAACTCTTGATTACTCACTCCTCCCACACTATTGTTTGGCTTACATGTTCAGACATGTCGTGCGGAATTGACATATAGCTACAATTTATTTTGTGTTATTTATTTCTGTGTTTGTTATATCTACAGAGACTCGAGTAACTCTACTATGTCATCCAAATGAAGTAAAACCAATTCTTCTGCATCAAACAAGAAAAGAAAAACTTTTTCTTTGGAATGTAAAGTTAACATTATTAAAGACTTCGATACAAAAATGAAAATTTGTGAATTGGCAAAGAAGTTTGATCTACCGGAATCGATGGTCAGAACAATTATAAAAGGTAAAGAAAAAATTCTCAAAGCTGTAAAAAATGCTCAATCTTTAAATTCAAGCATCATTTGTAAATGTCACGGTATTATCCCTGAGATGGAAACAATGTTAAAATTATGGTGTGATAATCAAATGTGAAAAATTGTATAATAATATAATTTGTTATACATATGTATTATCTAAGATTTTATTAAACACTTTTTCTAAATTATTGTTTTCTTTAGTCTCCGGCCCAATTAAAAATTATTTGTATGCATTTATATGCGAAATTATACTCCGACTTACATGAATTCGACTTATGCAGTTATCGCTCGGTCCTACCTATCGCATAAGTTTGGGGTATTATTGTATAATATTTTCTAACGTTAACTCTAAGAAACTGTACCATTCACAGCCAAATATCAAATGGTAATCTGCCAACAAATCAAATTTTGGAAAAAAAGACAAAATATTTAAACTCGACACCTCGAAAACTGCTTAAATCATATTTTGTGCTCATAGGTAATCTTGTATTAGGCATTTTTCCTATTCAAATGCCACCATACAGCTGGTCCAATAGAAAGAAGGACTGTTGTAAAAAAGAGGTTGAAGTAATTTGTTGACCTCTTCCTGGAAGAGAGGATGCTGAATGACTACTAATTAATACTGGTGTACCATTAATATTTGAAAAGTGGTTTGTGTTAGACAGCTTGTGATGGCCCTGCATGTGATCAGAGTTGCTAACAATAATAACAAACAACTGCACATCGGAGTTAACTAAACAACACGTACCTCAGAAACCTTTGCGAATTAAAATTTAACACTAAAAACATTTGCAGACCCCTCCCGGGTCCTCCTTCAGGTAAAAAATCGTTTGAAATGATATTACATACAAAAAAACATTCATTTGGAATGATTTTTAAATCAGAAAGATAGAACAGAATCATGTGATCAATAGCTCTGAACGTCAAAGTTTCTACGTCATATTGCGAGTTATTTAAATATTTTCCCTTTTTTAAAGATTTTTCGAAGATCTTTGTTGTTAAGCATAAAAACATATCATATAAACACTGACTACCCCTTTACTCCCCTTCTTTTAGGTTTACGATTCACTTAATTTTCCTGCTGTATTAGGGCCTGCCATGCCAAAGAAAGTTAGGTCTCATCTCTGAAATTAATGGGTGACGAAGTGCTGTATGCCCTGTATATCTCTATCTGCTCCAACCATTTGAGATGGTCTAAATATGAGGTGGTGATAATTAACTTAGCATTTGAAAAGTCTGCTACTATCTCTGGATCAGATGCATTAAGTGG